CGGAGGACTATTGACTGCACAAAGTTTTTTTAGGAGATGGGTCAACTAAGCTGAAAGGTTATGCATACCACAAGCGTCTGAAGGGCCTCGTCGATGGATTTCATTTCGGGTGGCTCAATGAAGGGAAAACGTTTTACATCGGGCAGACCCATGGCCATCATTTGCAGAACCAGAATGTCCAGAGGCACACGCCGAATTTCTGGGGTTGTGAATGCCTTCATAAAAGGAGCGAGGGAAAAATCGTCAAATTGAACTGTTAAAATATGCTGTACAGGAGTAGTGGTCTTGTCACTGGGTAGCATGTGCAACTGACAGATAGGAAAAGCTATATTGACGACAATTAATGCACCATTACGTGCATGCATGGGCTGAGTCGAACTAGAATCACAATACAGTATGCCTAAGGGTTACCGTGTGATTTACCTGGCCTTCACAAGGGGGTTGCTGCACTACAATGGGGACCTTATTGCGGCGTGGCATGCGCTAACTGGGCCACACAGTCCGAATGCGACCATGCTTACTGGTAATAGGGTGGATGGCAAATTTGAAAAATTCATTTGACCCAATTGTGAAAACCTCAGCGGCCTCCTTCGGAGTTGAGCCCATGACACCAAGGGGTAGGCTTTAGTACGGCCAACGCTCTACCTACCTGGGATACAAGGCCTCACCAGAAGCCTTGGGTTTAATCACAACCAGGTCAAGCTATCCGTCCAACTTACTGCAAGTTATGGAATCCGCAAATCCTGATAAACTAGGCTGACGGTTGCATAATTACTGTCATGCGTTCATATGTAGATGTCATGCTGCGCCAACCACCATGCCCAATCCAGCACTAGATAGCCGACCTTCGCACAGCCAACTGGTGCGTAGGGGAGGGACAAGAGAACGAGTTCGGTGCTAGGCGATCAGTCCCCTTGGCATCTAAGCGCATTCCGCACTATCAATAACTTGCCGGGCCTGGACTTCGTCTCACGCGCCAAAATCCGCGATTTAGAAGACTGCAAGTTGGCAGGATAACTCTGTCTTATCAGACCCTCTCGAGTACGGCCTTTACGACATTCCTAGTCAGATAGAATCCGAACCAGTCACTTCTTCTTTCTGTGAAAACTCGGTCTATTGTGCATGGACCAGGTCCTCTGTGGCGCATGTAGACGGGCCATTGCACCAAATCTCGCCTCCAGTGGTCCTGAGTTAATTCTGGTCTATCTAGCCCAGATAAGCGAAAGAACAGAGAATGCGGCAAAATCAGTGCACTTGCATACAAAATAAGAGCAGACATTCATAGCCAAAACACCTGAAATTGTCTGTACTCCTCCTCTTGAAATAGGCGAAAACAAACGCCAGGTCCCGTTCTGCCCGCTCTGCCCTTGCGTTGGTTGGCACTGGCCTGAGAAATGGCGGTCTCCTTTAGGCGCCGCATGCGTGACAGTGCATCCCAGGTCAACTCTTTCACTCGGCCAGAATCAGCAACGAACCTATAGGAAGAAAACAGGAGGGGGGAACGGGGGGAGGCAGGGTCAAGGCCTAATTCTTCGATCAGGAGGCCATAACACAAAACTCCGTAGCCTGAAGAGGTCATTTAAAGAGTCGTACCTGATGCCATCTATAGTGACTGATGTTTCAGCAATGTTGGTGGCCAGCACACACTTTCTGACACCATCCGGGGGAGCGTGGAAGATTTTCTCCTGACTACTGGCTGGCAGAGCGCTGTGCAGGGGCAAGATGATCCATCGTTTCGTGTGCTCTGCATAGGCCTTGCAAGCCTCCATCACAGCCTACGCAGAGTGGGGAAGTATTCAGCGGAGGTAACGACTCAGGTCGAAGAAAAAACGGCATGCCATTTTTAGCAAATAGGAGAAGGCAAAACGTACTTGAATTTCCGCCATGCCCGGTAAAAAGACCAGGAGATCGCCCCTTTCTGAGACGGGATAGGCAACGTCAATGTGTTGTAAAAGGCGAACATACGGTGATGGGTCCATTCGGTCCTGTGAGGCCGCAAGCTCCGCCGGTGTAAGTGGGCAATACTTTACGGTAATTGGGAAGAGCCTACCGGGTACCTAGCAAAAGAGGAGTGGGTATTGTTATCTAAAGGTGCATAAGATTTGCAATATTCGCAAAGGTATGCAACACAAACACCGTGGGCAGTTCCCCAGAGTCACATACTAAAAAGGCGGTTCGTGTTAATAGAACCACATGGGAATACTAAAAGAGGCGATTGGCTGGTGAATTTCCCCTAAAATGACGTCCATTTGCGGAACAATTAACGTTCAGAGGACCTAAGTGATCTGACTTTTGACAGATCTCACTAGTTACATGTTAAGGCGTAAGAAAATTATATAGCCAACATGATTGTAGTTAAGCGAGGAATTTAAGCATATTGAGGTATTTAAGCGAAAGCTGGATCGATGTACCAATGCTCGTTCTTAAGAGGAACTGACCGCCGCAAAAATTAACAATAATACTACCTTCCATATTTTAGTAGTATTAGTTTTATAGCATAAGATTTTAGGAGAGTTCCACTCCAAGCAGCATGTCTACTAACGGTGAATCGTAATTACCTATACTACATAGACTAATAGCAATATTTCAGTAATATGTATAAATGCTATATTATGACGCTCCCCCACCGATAGTCACATGCGAAAGGCTCCCCGGTCTACCTTATTTGGCTATCTGCGTACCGTGATTACCCCGTC